TGTATGTCAGGACGCAATTATGGCCCGATCACCACGCATGCATGTGGGGTTTGCGTCAGAATAGAACCCTATTGTTGGGGGAGATGATCGAGAACATTTAGGGGTTGAAATGGACCAAAAACAGAAAGACTTCCTGATTTTGCAGTTGCTCAACATGCCACAATTTCTGTAAAAAAATACGAACATTTCCACTAAACTGTGAATATGTTTAAAAACTCACTTCTTAGCATTATAGTGATGTTGAAAGCCAAGATACCGCTGGACTGCCAGAAATGGATACAATTTAAAACAAGTAAGCAAAGGCTGCAGTCGAGCGGGGCCGACCGTTGAATACCCTACAACACTATAATAAATGATACAGTTTATATAGGCGAGATACTCGAAAGAATTCCACAAGATATTGTGACAAATAATAAAAGAAAGCCATCAGTTTCCGTTCTCTAATTTTCGAATAATAGCAACTTAAACTAATTTGCTCATTTCCAATTTATTGGTAAATGGTCTTCCTAGATCTGGAACCAATATTTCCCAAAGACCTATAATCTCTCAGAAGTGGCAAAAGATTAACATTTATTATTGGTTTTTGACTGAAACGCATCTATATGAGATACAGACATTTGACTATATTCTTCAACGAAATTAGCGTTAACGAAATAGTCAGAAGTGCGTCTTCCCTGTATTTGTGAATTCTCCAAAAAAGTCACTTTGTCTACAAAAGTTGGCAAACTATTTCACACATTGAATATTTTTGGATGGCCATCCGAAACTGCTTGCCTTTTGCAATGTGCGGTAACCCCCATTCAAATGTGCGTGAGGATCGGGCGATAATTACGACCTGCCGACAATTTTGCAGTTTTTATGTCCATTTCAACCCCTAAATATATGGCGATCATCTCCAAAAAGAGTAGGCATCTATTCTGATCCTCATCTTATTTTCATGCAAAATTTCGTAAGGATCGGACCATAAATGCGATCTGTATATGATATCCTGATATCCTAACTACTTAGTTTTGCTAGCTGTAGAAATATTACCAAATGTTTAATTCAAAATGAAAATATGCCAAAAATATGACAAAATAGGAAAAATGTGAGAAATCTTTCAAAATCATTAATGTAAAATTAACGAAATTATTTATAAATATAATGAACATTCTTCATTGATTCAGTGAAACACATTCATTAATGCAATGACATTATTACAATGAAAGACATTCATTAATACAGTGAAAAGCATTCATTAACAAAATAAAAAACTTTTCACAGATATGTCCGAAAATTAGTATTTGTAGTTCGTAATGGGTTCTAGCGAAACATTGTTGATATCGGTCCACGTCTTCGAATAGCTCTCATATAAAGGTGCCTCCCGATATTCGGGATTTTTCACGGATTTGTTGGTCATAATGGGTTCTAGCTCCGGTGTCGAAACATTGTATGTATAGGTCCACGTTTTAGTATAGCCCCCATATAACAATATCCCCCGATATTAGGTATTTTGATAATTTTAGCAACATTATTCACCGGATTGGATAATGTGTACTACAACCTGTGGCAAAACATTTCGTTTGCAGGTCCACGTCTTCGTAGCCCCAATATAAGGGTTTTCGTTTAAGTGGTATTTTTCGACTGATTTTTAAAAAAAAAATTAAGATCTTTCAAAATGATGGAGGGTATTAAAAGGTCGGTCCGGCCGAACTTTACTGTTTTTTACTTCTAAATACCTACATCACTCTGTGGTAGAGGACAATTTGTCGTTGTGCATTTGTTTGTAACAGGTAGAAATACGCGAGATAAACCGTACTTTTTTGGATAATCTTTATAAAATCACGTTCTGATTCGGTTAATGCATGTCAGTAAGTCTGACCGTATTTTTATGAACAAAATGCAGGTCACCTTTATTGTCCAATTGAGATGAAATTTTCCATGTATCATTTGGCCTAAGAATGAACTCCATTACATAACTTTTCATTCATTTCATGAAACTGCTTCATTAAATTGGAGCACAAGTTTAAATATAACAATTATCACAATTTTCCCTCTAATTGTTAATATTTTGGTTGCGTATTTGTTTGTATAAGGCAGCGCTTTTATGTATCATTTCAGTATTCACACTCGTTTCAAATATTCAATGAAATTCGTTTCAAATATTCAATGAAACCAAAATATTTATTATATTAATGTAGCTTTTCATTGCATCAATGAAAAAATCAACGAAACCGGTTCGTTTATACAACAAAGCATTTTTCTTTCGGTGATTGTGTTAGGTTGAGTTCGTTATTTTAACAAATCTTATCAAAATAAAGCACATACCTTGTCAGAGTATGGATTACACTGTACGACAAATTTAAACTTTTGGTCTCACCCACGATCATACTGACCAGATTCTGAAAATATAGCTCAAAATAAAATATACGTATCTCCCAGTTTTTCTAGATCAATTAATTTAAGCTTTTTACGAGCAATTCAATTTTTGGAGTATTCAGCTAGTATATATATACCTATTGTTTAGTTTTGTAGAAACTGTACATGTTGTAAAAATAGTTTGTGTGTTGAATGTTCTTCTTTAAATTCTTATCTCATTTTTATTTGCCTTTTCCGAAGAATGTAAATTAGTTAAATAAAGAAAACACTTAAGATGCATGTGTTTTTGAAATGCTAGGTTTATGTAATAAATGTCACGGCCATAAATAGAAGATAAGAAAGAGTCGATCACAAATTAGGTACGTTTCGTTTTCTCCCGCAACGTATTGTGTGCGTTAATGCATTATTGTGTGCGTAAATAAAATGCATGTGTTAATGTATTAGATGTAAGCTTTAGTGTTAAGAATATGTTGTAAATAAATTGAGTTCCCTTCCAGCCACGGAACGAGAAAGATCATCTCGCGGCGTTTCTTTTTCTTTCGTTAGTTACATCGCTTTGTTATGAGGTTAGGAGTCGACCTCATCACTTGGTGACCCCGACGTGATAGTATCGCGTGTAGTTAGTGAAGTTATTCGATAGGCTATATTTTCAGTGTCCGAGAAAATATTAGTTTATGCGAAATAAATGACGTGATAGGCGCGCATTTTCGTAGTAGTGAAGTGTGTTAGGCTTATTTGTTGTAGCGACGTAAAAGGTAGTGTTAGATCTTTTAGTTGTGTAAAAGGAGACATGATAGGTAGCAGTGAAAGATTCTGTCGATCTATCTCTCCATATACTAACGCAATAGACGTGTAGAAAAAAGTGATTAGTTTATTCGTTTATTTTTTTTATTTTTTATTTATTTTTTATTTGTAATAAATGTCACGGCCATAAATAGAAGATAAGAAAGAGTCGATCACAAATCAGGTACGTTTCGTTTTCTCCCGCAACGTATTGTGTGCGTTAATGCATTATTGTGTGCGTAAATAAAATGCATGTGTTAATGTATTAGATGTAAGCTTTAGTGTTAAGAATATGTTGTAAATAAATTGAGTTCCCTTCCAGCCACGGAACGAGAAAGATCATCTCGCGGCGTTTTCTTTTTCTTTCGTTAGTTACATCGCTTTGTGATGAGGTTAGGAGTCGACCTCATCACCTATATATGTTTAATGTCCTAGTAACCCTAGATATTAAAAACATTGAAGTAGAAGTAGTGGGTTCTCGTTTAAAGCAATGGAATTTGGTAAATAACGACTTTAAAATAACAGCTGCACGTAAGCTAGGGAATACAGAGCCATTTTGTGAATACTTTGTTTTCCATGAAGATTGTGGAAAACAGTTTTGCTATTGCAATGATATTGATGCGTTATTTAAAGTAATTGGTCATCCACATATAGCACAGGAATGGAGATTGTTTATCGATTCTTCAGTGACTAGTCTGAAGGCGGTATTGCTTCATATTGGAAATGAATATCCATCGGTACCAATTGCTTACGCAATTTGTATGGTTGAAACGAACGAAAATATGAAGATAATTTTTGATTCAATAGACTACAAGAAACACAAATGGATGATTTGTTGTGATCTTAAAGTTGTTTCTCTGCTTACCGCGGTAAAAAAAAGGATTCTCGAGGCACCAATGCTTTTTGTGCGTTTGGGAGGGACGCAGAAAAGATCTTCACTATACCAATTTTGAATGGGAACCTCGTACAGATGCTCAGTTGGTCCAATTTAGTATTGACAATGTACCATTGGTTGAATCCAGCAAAGTAATTTTGGGTTTAATTCGAAGTTTTATAAGAGCACTTGACACAGACAGCTCAGCGTTTAAGCTTATTAAAGCTATCTTTCCAAAAATGAGCGAAGCTAAGATCACGGCGGGTAAGTGCTTAATGTCTCTCTTTTCATTATTTAGTTTTTAATTGTTCCTCTCTTCAAGGTGTTTTCAATGGTCCACAAATCAAACAACTGTTAAGCAGAATAGACTTTCAAAATATGCTTAGTCCCATAGAAAAAAGAGCATGGACCGCGTTCAGAAACGTTATAAATATTTTTTTGGGAAACAAGAGGGCGGGAAATTATAAGGAAATTGTATAAGAACTTATTGCTTCGTATCATGCGATGGGAGTCAATATGTCCCTCAAAATATATTTTCTTCACAACTTATAAAATTTTCAAATTAATTTAACTGTTAAGTTTTACCTTTTAATAATAATACTCCAAAAATTGAATTGCTCGTAAAAAGCTTAAATGAATTGATCTAGAAAATCTGGGAGATACGTATATTTTATTTTGAGCTATATTTTCAGAATTTTGTCAGTTTGATCATGGGTGAAAAATCGTGTCGTACAGTGTTATATATGAATTTCTACATAAGTTAACGCAACCCTAAATCTGTAATATATATCTTATACTCCAGATATACATTTAATTACCATGTGTATGTTCAAAATGGTATTTACTTAATCATTCCCCTAACTAACCTTTTAAAGAATACTTTTCCTTTCCAAAAGATAGCGACACTTCTAATATTAAAACATATTTTAAAAGTTATTTAAAAGTTGTCCTTGTTTTTGCGAAACACATGATGCCACAATCTTACCAATGTATATATGCCACTGGCAAAACTGCCTTTCCATACATCATCCCAACAACAGCAAGACATCAGTAATACCATGGTGTCATCAAATTTGTCGTTCTTCTTACTAGAACTTTTATCCTGTGGGATTGAGACAAAGTTTCGTAGGGTAGGAAAATGTATATTTTATTGGTTGCCGGCAAGGTTTATTGTTTAAATCCAATCTTGTGTTCGTTTTGTTTTTATGCAATTACAGAAAATATTTTCGAGTTGTTTTGTTGGATCACCCACCCAACACAAAAACAGACACTTTGGAACTTTTTATCAGCCATACCAAGTTGAATTATATTCCCATCCAATTGGGTTTTCTTTATTTGGATTTACTTTTGTTTACATTGTGGTATACAAAAACAACTTTGCATTAAGAGTGACACTTTTATTACAAACACATCCGCAGCTTTTCCCATTTCACATACACATGCAAACACACACAAACAATATTTATTCAACAATATTAAGTATACGCCACGCGAGATTCAATTTCAAACGCCGACGGACAAAAGTCCTTTGACAATTGCTTCCGTTCAACTTTCACAAGAACTTATCGGTATCACGGTCAATTTGATACTAATTGAAACTCACCGCTCTAAAGGACTCTGTCGGAATTTTATGAATGAAAAGCTTACAAGATAATAAACATGCGCAATCACGAGAGCTTTCGGAGTCAAATGTTTTTAAATGGATTTTTACCGGAATGTTTTAAGCTGGTCATAAACATGTATTAACTGGTGTTATCATGCTCATAGTACATAATTTCACATATGCCGCCAGCATCATGCTGCCCTTATATTGTGAGCATGCAGGGAAGGCAATACGAAATAAATACTACACTTCAAATTACGGCCCTTGTAAGTCATCCACCCGAAACATGCCTATTGAGCCGCTTAACTAACGGCGAAACGTGTCGCATCATATTGAGCGTGTGATAGTATCTCTCTGGAATTATTTTTCAGTGCAAATCTCAGATCATTAACCTTCTCTCGAAAGAGAAATAAACCAAAATACGTTTTGTTGGGTAAAACAACATTTTAAACGGCATTAAATGAAGCTAGGCCCAAATGTAATAACCTTTATCATGGGTTGAAAACAACATTACCGAGATTCAGGATTCAAGGGATTTAATACTGCAAATACAAGAGAAACAGAAAGGAAAATCTAATTAATATCCCAAGTTATATGAGATGTATGTACTTTGATTTTTTGGAGTTTGTCATTCCGTTTGTAACACATCGAAATATAAATTGTAGACCCTGCGAAGCATATATATTTTTAAAAGGCATAAAATTATGTGACGTATGTCTGTACATCTGTCCGTCCGTCTCTCTGTCCGTCTGTGGAAATCACTCTAGCTTCCGAACGATTTGAAGTATGTTAATAAAATTTTACTCAGATGTTTTTTTTTTCGTTTTAACTTTCGTATTTTTATACCCTCCACCATACTATGGAGGGTATATTAACTTTGTCATTCCGTTTGTATCTCCTCTAAATACTCATGTCAGACCCAACAAAGTATATATATTTCTGATCAGCGTAAAATTTTAAGTCGATTTAGCGATGTCCGTCTGTCTGTTGTAATCACGCTATCTTTCGAATGAATTATCGTCCGATTTGCCTTTTATTGTGAACCAAACGTGTAATATTTGAACAAATAGCATGGAATTTTCCACATACGACCACATTGAGCCTGGAAATAATTATATCAAATTTGATCTAAATCCGTTCAGCTATAGCTCCCATATATATTGTTCATACGAATTTTTATTTTTGTCCTCCGCAGTCATAATATGAACTACCTAACAAAGATATTCAAGCAATTATATCATTCTATCAAATACAGCTCAGAAATACCTTTGCCAATTTTTATAGAGATCTTTATCCGATTTTAAGTTAGTTGTGCACCAAATGATTAATATATGCCCTAATTGAATGGATTTTGGCACATGCGAATGAAATTAGCCTGGAAGAAGGCCTTTTAAATTTTGTGAAAATCGATAATGATATAGGTCTCATATATATGTCTCATCCGATTTTGCTCCAAATTTGCAAATCCTAATATTTTCTTCAGTGCTATGTCAGATGCGAAAAAAGAAAGATATCCCCCCACAAAGGGTCAACATTTTTAATATTCATGAAGCTCCTAAAACGCGAAATTAACATCCAATTCCATTCAGACTTGGCACATCTTAATATTTTTATCAGCACAAGATCGATTATAAAGTTGGTAGAGATCGGACCATTTCTTCTGGTTAGCTATTTTCAATACTCTTATCTGTCAGAACTTGCGAAACAAGTCAGCGATTCCCTACAACTTGCTTTATCTAAATATTTCACTCAACCAGAATTTATGATCCATTTTTTTTGTAATTTTGCCTATACCAATATTTTTATCTTCATCACCGCAACAGAAAGAAAATAGACTCAAACGAGCTAAAGAGTTGTTTCGCTTGGCCGAAAGTTGTGAACTGTCGAATTTGGTTTTCTCCGATGAGAAAACATTCGTTACCCAGCAGTTCGTAAACAAGCACAATTATCGTGTTTACTTGCCAAAGAGGTCAGCTGAAAATATTACCTTCGGTTGGCCACCAGAACTCAAGCGCCGGCCATGGTAATGGTGTGGGCCGCCATAACAGCCCATGGTCGTATTCCGTTCGTATTAATCGACCGTGGCATAGGAATTAATACCGAATATTATCGCGAAAATATTCTGGAGGGTGTATTAAAGCCTTGGGCACGCAAACATTAGGCCGCAGATTTTGGACATTCCAACAGGACTCAGCACCATCGCACTCAGCACGCGCAACCCAAGAATGGTAACAAAATGGGGTTCCTCGCTTCATTTCCAGCGCACAATGGCCACTAACATCTCCGGATACCAATCTGCTGGGCTATTGTGTCTGGAGTATTTGTGAAAACAAGTTGGCACTAAAAAATACCAAAGTGTCGATCACCTCAAGCAATCGCTTCGCCGGGAATGGACCAAAATACATCCGAGCAACGTTCGGGCAGCGTGTGACGGTTTCATTGGCCGTTCATAATTCCTGCCAAAGTTGTCCAATTCGAACAAATTTAAACTTGTTCTAAAATTTGATGCTATTTCCTACATTTTCTGCTTTCATTCAATAAAATTTAAAAAAATGTAAAAATTTTGGCGTTTGACTTAGTTGCATTTTTTATCTCACCCTGTATAGTCTAAACCTGGCACGTCGCAATATTTTTATCATTTTAGTTCCGAAACGAAATGGACAATATTGGACGGAACCAACTCCATAGAAGGTCAGCAATTAAATAACCATAACAGAAGCCAATTAAATAATCGAACATTGGCTGACTTTTTAACTTTACTTTTTTAACTTTTACTTTTTAATTGTTTTTTTACGTTTTTGTATAAAATCATTTTATTTGTAAAATATAAATATGACAATATGGCACAATATTATTCATCATTTGACTGAAGCGTCAATAACTCCGCACCATTTCGGGGACAGGTGGCGAATACAACGTTATCAAAATTATCGAATTGCAATTTTTCTGTAGACAGCTTTGAGTAGTATTTATCTTTGAGTGCCTCAATGTAGCTGTTCGATGATTCGACAGAGTCACATAAGGCCACAATACAGCCTCCCCATCTAGAAGATAATTAAGATTTTTAGATAAAACGAAACGATAAAATAATAATGGATTCTATTTTTGTTTCTTTTTTTCTTACCCTGCTCCTGTTAGTCTTGCACCTATGCCCAATTGATGGGATATTTCAACTAATTTATCCAAATTGGGATGGGAACATTCATATAAAGTTTTTAGACTTTCATGGGATTGTCGCATTAGCTGTGACAGCCTACTAACTGTAGACTCAAAGGACATATCCCCATTGCCATTAACATGCATTCCATTGGAATGAAGAGAATTTGAGGAATATTTTTCACATATTTCATGAAATTCCAGGACTCTAAGAGACTCTAGTAAAAGAAAATAAATATCAATTATTGTCCTCGGTATATTACTCTTTTTTTGGCCAAATTCTACATACCTTGGATGACGTGTAAAGTTCGTTGTTTCAATTTAAACTGCTGCATGTTGCGCGTATTTTCCGTTAGAAAATCTCTTTCAAATTCTTCATTCGTTACACCAAATACTTCGCATAATTCCGAACGTTTATAAATATCCTGGGAAACAAACTCCAGTGCATATCTTTCCAGTTGAGCTAAATCGCATGCCAAAGCTGCCTGCAGCTTAGCAAAAACCTGCATATCCTTCCAATTGTTAAAATTTTTGTTGAGGGCAATCAAACGACACCCCAACCGACATTCAACAACGCGCTCGTTAAAGTCGGAGGTGGCGGCCTTATTCATTTCCGCCAAACTGTTGGCAACTACGAAACAAGCTCCTTCTGGCAAGCGCAGAGGAGTAGCATTCAAACTGGGATAAAATTCAATAAATTGAGCACATCCCTCTTTGGCCAAATATGCAATGGCCTGATCCATGCCACCACCTTGTGTACCAATGTAACGTTCACATGCTGCCGATATGGACGCCAAGGTCTTACGATTAAGTGTAGCGTGATGAACATATCCTGTAGCCAGTACTGCACTGCTAACCAATGCACTGGAACTAGACACTCCCGATGCAGGAGGAATGTTACCGCTAATTGCAACTGTCATGCCATAACGTATTTCGTTATCCGTTAATGTTTCCAAAATTCCTTTAACACCACACAAATAGTAATTGTACCATGGCGGCGGAGAAGACGCTTTATGGATTATCCTGGAGGGCAAAATAAAATTTGATACATTTGGAATTTTAACTTAAGGATTTATTTTCGTACTTACTGCAATTTACTGAGGTCAGTTGAGAAGTCTTCGTATTTCTCCTTTTCCATGTTTCTCAGCTCCAGTTGGGTATTGGCTTCGGTGTACCCAACTGCTAGCAGTATACATTGATCAATAGCCATGGGTAGTACCGGATAGCCGCAATAATCCACATGTTCACCAATTAAATTTACTCTATAATTACAAAGAGGTATTAAATATAAATTATATGATTCACTTGAATTCGCTGCTGAAATTAAGTCGTTTTTCATTTGGACTTCTATTTAAACGTTTTATGTGGTGAAATTAAACTGCATAGAAACTCACCTTCCCGGGACACGAACATATACTTTTGGTTCAGATCCATACTCATTGCGGTAAAATGTTTGTAGTTCATGCAAACGACGATAAATGCCATGATTTTCCAATATTTCGGTGGTGGACACATAGATGTCGCTAGTGCTGTCTGCCATGGTGTGGTGGAGGTAGATTAGTTTTCTTTATTTTTGCCACAATTGTTTGTTAACAGTTCACAATCCTAAGTTTTCTATGATGAAAAAAAACAGTAAGGAAAAGTCAAAAGTCGAGCGGGGCCGACTATATTATACCCCACACCACTATGCATGTTTAGTAGAGCTTCCGTAACAAAAGAATTTATTTGAAATAGATCATACCACCTACTAACATTTGGGTTTAGAGCAGTTACAGTTTGGTTTCAGATGAAACTAATGTATGGAAGGCATATCCAATTCATGATCAATTTTCACTAAATTTGACAGAGACATTTTAATCTGTAATACCAAATAACATTGCTATAGAGTGCATGAGAAGGATTATATTAAAAAATATATATCGGAGCTGAGTTCCACAAAATTGAAACATACGTCCCGAAATTCACTCCATTTGCCCCGATATTAGTCATTATTTGCACAATAAACCTGAAATCGAATTAAGGATATTTAGGAGCTATATCCAAATCCTAGCCGATTTCGATCAAATTTGGAAAAGGTATTTCCAAATATCATTGTTCTCGAATGGATATTACAAATTTGAGGGACTTAAACACCAAATCGGATGAAACATATATTTGGGAGCTATAGCTTTATCTGAACCGATTTTCACCAAATTTGATGTACTTACTTCTAGACTGAATTCGGTCGGATAAGTCAAAATTCAGGACTTTTAGACTGATATTGGCCATTTGATGCACAATATACCTGATATATATATATATATATATATATATATATATATATATATATATATATATATATATATATATATATATATATATATATATATATATATATATATATATATATATATATATATATATATATATATACATAGAAGCTATATCCAAATCTGAACCGATCTTGACAAAATATGAAATACTTATTTCAGAGCTGAATCTCATATCTGGTACCAAAGATCATTGTTATGGAGTGCATATTATACATGTAAGGGACTTAAAACACCAAATCGGATGATGGACACATATGTGGAATATATATCTGAAAAGATTCACAACCAATTTGATGTACTCGCTTCTAGACTGAATTCGACTGGTTTAAAAATTTCAGGCCATTTGGACTGATATTGGCCATCAAGTGCACAATGAACCAGAAATCAGTTGAAGATACATATGGGAGCTATATCTAAATATGAACCGATTCTCAACAATATCAATAGGTTTCATTTCCTTGGGCCAAGCAAATACTGTTTGGAAAATTTCATCTAAATCAGAGCCAGATTAAAGGTTTTTTGTTGGGTGTTTTTGTCATATTTTTCGAATTTAATATGTTCATTTACAGTTTTCTCTCTCAGTATGTAGACGACTTCTTTGCAAAGAACTGTCCACATGCAGTGACCGATAATTGTTTAAATACAACTCTCATTTTTGCAAGTCTCCATGTCCTACATCATTCCTCTTTGGGCTTTATTTTAAGATTTTTGCCGATAGTGATATTATGTTTCCTGATCCTCTGCCGCAGAACCTAATTTCTAAAATAAAATTACACTGGTAGCGATCCGTGTTTCCTTCCATAAATGCTAGTATTCCAACATAAGCTGCAGCGTTGCCAAAGCCATACTTTAGCTGGCCTTTATATACCCTCAACCATATGGCTACAGAGGGTATATATCAGCTGATAAGTCCAAAACGTGCCTCATCGAAATAACGGTTTTGAGGCCCAAGGTCATTTTGGTCCAAATCCGTTTCAGGACATTTGTAGTAGAAGATGAAGTGTCCATCCGTCCGCGTGGTGCGCACGATTACTCTCGAAGGTTTGAGTAGTTTGAAGAAATTCCGTAGAATATAGGGAGGTACGGTTATATGGGGGATATACGATGACGTGAACATGCATAGAAAATTTTCAGTCGAACACGAACTTTCATTATGAAATTTTAAACAATTCCGGTGAATAATGTGGTTAAAATCGTCAAATGCCGAATATAGGCCCTCGATATATGGGGGCTATACGAATACGAAAGTTGAATCAATTCAGATAAATAATGTAAAAACTTCAAATACGAAATGTGAAAGAATTCCAATGAATAGTGTATATAAAATCATGAAGATACCGTATATAGGTAGGTACAGTTATATGGGGGCTATACTAAAACGTGGACCTATATAATCCATTTTCAATACCAAAAGTCCTGCAGACCATTATTATGTCTAGGTACCTTCCGATATTCGGTATTTTGATGATTTTCACCACATGTTTTCACGGATTTGTCTAAAATTTAGTACCTGTAGGTCATAATAAGTTCTAGTCTGGTGGCGAATATATAGCTCTGGTAGCGAATATATACCATATAATGATACCTCCCAATATTCGGTATTTCGATGATGTTTGCCATATTTTTCCACGAATTTGTCTACAAATTGGTATTTGTTTGTCATGATGGCGTCTAGTTCCGGTGGCGAAGCATTGTATGTGCAGGTTCTCATTTTTGTATAGCCCCCATAAAATGGTATCTCCCGATATTCGTTATTTTTATGATTTTTGCCACATTGTTCCACGGATTTGTCTAAAAATTTGTATTTATAGTTCGCAATGGGTTCTTGCTTTGGTGGCGGAACATATTATTTGTAAGTTTACGTTTTGGAATAGCCTCCATGCAACGGTATTTTGAAGATTTTCGCCACATTTTTTCACGGATTTGTCTAAAAATTGGTATTCGTAGGTCATAATGGGTTCTAGCTCCGGTGGCAAGACATTGTATGTATAGGTCCACGTTTTTGTATAGCCCCCATATAACGGTACCTCCCAATATTCGGTATTTCGAAGATTTTTTTCCACATTTTTCCACGAATTTATCTACAAATTGGTATTTGTTTGTCATGATGGCGTCTAGTTCCGGTGGCAAAGAATTGTATGTGTAGGTTCTCATTTTTGTATAGCCCCCATTAAATGGTATCTCCCGATATTCGTTATTTTTATGATTTTTGCCACATTGTTCCACGGATTTGTCTAAAATTTTGTATTTATAGTTCGCAATGGGTTCTTGCTTTGATGGCGAAACATAGTATATGTAGGTTGACGTTTTGGAATAGCCTCCATGCAACGGTATTTTGAAGATTTTCGCCACATTTTTTTCACGGATTTGTCTAAAAATTGGTATTTGTAGGTCATAATGGGTTCTAGCTCCGGTGGCAAGACATTGTATGTATAGGTCCACGTTTTTGTATAGCCCCCATATTTTTCTAAAAAGTGGTATTTGTAGGTTATAATGGGTTCGAGCTGCGGTAGCGCAATATTGTATGTATAGGTTCACGTTTTCGTATAGGCCCCACATAATGGTACCTTCAGTATTTTGATGATTTTTACCAAAATTTTCCCACGTTTTCACATAGCACCCATATAACGATACCCACCGAATTTCGGTTTTTTGATAATCCTAGTCACATTTACCCACGAAATTGTTTCAAATTGGGTATTTAAGAAGATTTGGTAGATGACAATCCTTGAAGTATAAAATTGTCTATAGATGTTACCGTTTTGGTATGGCCCCCATACAACGCCCTCACGCACTTTATGATTTTTTGAAACACGTTTCCGTCCAAATGCTTTTATATAAAAATGTTTTCTTTACCTACAGGTGGAGGGTAATAAAAGTTCGGACGGACCGAACTTAACGTTTTCTTACTTGATTGTCTTGTTCTTATCAAACCTGTATAATTTATTTTTTTCAATTAAAAATATTTACTTTATAGGATTTTAAATTAAATCTTTATCCTGGGCAATGTTAACTGAAATGTTAATTGTTTTGATTACCCGAATATTACAAAATTTTTAAATAACATTCACTTGACCACAGAGTAAAGTACATTCGATAACCGGCAGTTTTTAGGCTGTGTGTTGCTATTTAAGGCAACACAAATGTTTCAGTTTAAAAAAAAAAACCAGTCCACATTCTGTTATTGATTTTTACAACAACAAAACGTGTGTGTTGTGTCTGTCTCAATTGCATCTCTTCCATGCTAGAAGCATAAACACGAAAAACAAAGCAAAACAAGTAAACAAAACCAATGACCTGCCTTCGTCGACAGGTACATACTACGTCACAATAACAAACACGTGATAACGTTTACTCTCAGGATTTGGTTGATTTCATTTTTAAACAAATGTACGTATGTATATAATTTTAGCTAGAATATTATTATTATTTAACATACAAATTAAATTGTTTGTAGGTAGGTAACATTAATTGGCGCACTCGTTGCTTTGCACACCCAAACATCAATGGTATTTGTTTTTGAATGAATAATAACAGTATATATCGTATTTTCTTTCCGCTTTTGGTTTTATTTATTTTCATTTTGAGAGAGAGAGAGAGAGAGACTGAGTGCAAGATAAGAGAAAGGTGGGAATATTCTGACAATCAGCTGTTTATTTGTTGTTTTTGCACTCTCTTCCCATTTGGTTTTGTTATTTCGCGAACGTACGTGTCGCAAATTTTTGTTGAAGAAATTATTGACATTTCTACATGTTTTTTCTTGATGTTTGTTCGCCGCACAAAACAAAAAGAAACGATAACGAATGCAACGGTAAACACTTGTTATTGTTGAAAACGGATACAGATACAAATTTTATTTTTCCTTTATCACTAATTTAACCTCTGCTTTGAAATAATTGTATTTGTCGTTCTTGATTAACCGTACCGTTCTGTTGGCGTTTGATGCACTTCGTCTGTTGCCCTGAAGATGACTGATTTCTGGAGTGTGTCGGTTTGAGAATTTTGTATTCTGGCGCTGAGATTGCCATACAGTTTGTTTGGCCGTATCTCAAATGTGGGAAAGTGAAAGTTGATGGTCGGGTATTTTGTTGGCGGGAAGCAATGTGGCTTGGTTTATCTTTTAGATAAATTAGCAAAAAAAAAAAAAAATGAATTGATTAAACGAATGTAGGTTTGTGGGTTTTTGTTTATAGGGATTATCCTGTCCAATTCATGTGTGTGATATTTTCGATCAAATTAAAACTATTGAGTAATTATTACAATTTAGTTACACAAAACTGGTTAGTTATTAGAACAAAATTTAACCTTTTCTGTGATGTATATTTTTTTGTCAGTTTTATACCCTCCACCACACTATGAAGGGTATGTAAACTTTGTCATTCCGTTTGTAACTCTTCGAAATACTCATCCCAGACCCAACAAAGCAGCGTAAAATTCTATGTTCGATCTGCCAGTAGACAGGTTAATTTCGTAGATGGATCATGTCTGTCCACATATAACGGTTCCACTCAATATTCGGTTTTTTGATAATTTAAACGAAATTAGAGACCGCAATTGTTTCAAATTTCGTATTGGAAGATCTTAATGGGTACTACAGCCTACGACAAAAAATTAGTTTTACAGGTCCACGTCTTCGGATAGACACCATATAACGGTGTCTCCCAATATTCGGTATTTTATAGTATGAGACATTATTAACCTGAATCGTTTCAAATTTCGTGTTTAAAGTTCGCAATGGCGTATGCAGGTCCATGTCATCGTATTGCCACCATATAACGATACCTTCCTTTTTTGTACCACCTTGACAAGGAGGGCATATTAACGTTCATGACAGCATAAAGTCTAAGTCGATTTAACGATGTCGGTCTGTCCGTCTGGCTGTTGAAATCACGATACAGCCCACGTTATTTGACGTAGAGCTTCAAAATTTGGCAGAACGATTTGTATTGTGTTTTGGATGGTTGGTATTTGTGTATCGGTCCACGTTTTGGTATAGCTGCCATATAACAGTATCTCTCGATATTCGGTATTTTTATAATTTTCGCCAAATTTCTTCACTGTTTTTTTTTTTCTATGAATTGGTAATTTTATATAGCCCCATATAACGGTACCTCCCGATATTTAGTATTTTGATGACATTTGCCACATTTTTTCACGGATTTGTCTACAAATTGGTATTTGTAGATCATAACGGGTACCGAAACATTGTATATATGGTTTGGTTTGGCCCCAAAAACGGTACCTGCCGATGATTTTCGGTCATAATGGGTTCTAGCTCATGTGGCGAAACGGTATAATGGCACCTCTCCATATTCAATATTTTGATGTTTGCCACATTTTTTTACGAATTTGTCCAAAAATTGATATTTGTAGTTCGTAATGGGTTCTAGCTACGGTGGCAGCACATAGGATATTTAGATCCACGTTTTCGTGTGGCGCACATAAAACAAACCGATATTAGTAATTTTGATTATCATTAACAACGAAATTGTTTCAAATTTGGTATTTTAGGAGATTTGGTAGATCGCAATCCTTGGAGTATAAAATTGTCTATAGAGGTTCCCGTTTTGGTATGGCTCCCATATAATGGTTTAACCCACATTGTGATTTTTTGAAAACTTTAACATCATTATCCAAACGGTCTTACTGGTATTTGTAGTTTAAAGTGGAACACGTTTGAGTTCATGTACTTTTATATAACAATGTTTTTTTTATCGAATTGTGGAGGATATTAAACGTTCGGTTGGTTTACCAACCAATTTTATTGGCAATAATGAATCCATATATTGTTATACCCTACACCGAACTGTGGCCAGGGTATGATATCTTTGTGCTTTTATTTGTAACACAGAGAAGAAAGCGAGTTAGACCCGTAGTTCCTTTTCATGATCTTCATAGAATCATATTCTTAGTCGATTTATCAATGTCCGTCCGTCCATGTATTTTTGTAAACAATGTACAGGTCGCATATATTGTCCGATCGAAATTATATTTGCACAAATCGTTTGTTCGGCCCAACGACGAACGCTATTAAAATTAGAGATAATCGGTCAAAATATAGATATAGATCCCATATATATCTTCGTCCAAATTGTATGGAATTTGGTACATAGAACCAAATTGAGCCTAGGAATAAGTGCGTCAAATTTGGAAATCGGTTGAGATATAACTATAGCTCCCATATATAGTCTTCAACCGATTTGTTAAATTTCTCCTTCACAGCCTTAAATATGTAAATAACGATACTCAAATAAATGTATCAAATAAATCTCAGAAATTTCATTGAGATCGATTCAGAGTTGGATGGAATCTAGTATACATTTATTTTGAATAAATAATTGAAAAACGCGATAACTGAATGAAATGTCAACACTTCTTTTCAAAATCATGTACTATATCTCTAAAGGATTATTTCGCTACAAAAACTCTAGATTTTGTCGATGCATACGCTGAAATAAACATTTTGAAAACACACGAATTTGAATATTTTCTGAACAATTTTTTTTGTTATTGAAAAGAAAACACATACATAAACAAATAAAGATGACATATTAAGCCAAGAAAATAAAAAAAATTAAAATCATATGGTAGCATAGCCCTACCTTGATATCATTGTACCATGCTAGATTCCATGTTAATTGTGCACCAAATAGTTAAAGAAGAAATAATACAAAACACCGACAAATACTAATTAATGTTGGCAACTCTAGCCGATAAGTTTAAAGTTGCTGCTGACAATTCAAAATAATTTCTTTTGTAAAAAAAAAATAAATACAATGCGAGCATTTCTTATCAACTCGATAATGTTCAAGACGTTTACTTTTTGTTTTTTTTTTTCAAGTTTATTTAAGTGTTATATCTTTTGTAAATATGTGCATTGCATTAGAATCCGAGAGTATTTTTTTTTTAAATAAAGCGGGTCAAACTACTGCTCAATTGATATCAAAATAAAACTATATCAAGTATTTTGTATGCAATGAAAATAGTAGTGTATTGTGTGTTAGCATCACATTTTGTTGATAAACAAATTTATGTGGTATAGTACAATAATGCAGGTAAGAGCAAGTGTCATCTGATTACATTTTACCGTAATGATAGTGTCCATGACTTTAATTGTATTGATTTTTGTATTTTTATACCCTCCACCTTGAAAAGCAGGGTATATTAACTTTTTCATTCCGATTGTAATATCCCTAAATATTCGTCGTAACACCATAAAGTATATATATTCATATATTTGTATTGTGTCTAGGATGGTTGGTATTTCAAATGAGATATATCGGTCCACGTTTTGATATAGCCGCCATATAACGTTATCTCCCGATAGGCGGTATTTTGATAATTTTTGCCACATTTTCCACGGATTTGTCTTAAAATTAGAATTTGAAGGTCATAATGGGCTCTTGTTCCGATATCGCAACATTGTATATATAGGTCCTCATTTTTGTATAGTACCTCTCGATATTCGGCATTTTAAAGTTTTTTGCACGTTTTCCCCCTCGGATTTGTCGAAAAATTGGTATTTGTAGTTCGCAATGGGTTTTAGCTCCGGTGGCGGAACAAAGTATATATATGTCTACGTTTTCGTATAGCCCCCACATTATGGTACCTCCGGATATTCAGTATTTTGATGATTTTTGCCACATTTTTCACGGATTTGTCTAAATATTGTTTTTTTTTTTGTACTTCATAATGTATACTAGCTCTGGTGGCAGGACACTGAATATTTTGGTCCCTGTTTTCATATAGCGCACATATAACGATACCCACCGATATTCGGTATTTTGATAATCCTAGTCACATTTACCCACGAAATTGTTTCAAATTTGGTAATTAAGAATTATGGTATGGTCCCTATACAACGACATCACCCACTTTATCGTTTTTTGAAAAGTTTAACAGCATTATCCAAACGGTCTTACTGGTATTTTAGTTTAAAGTGGAACACCAAATTAGGTTGGATGGAATTTGGAAGGTAACCTAATTTCAAATAAGTGTCTCCAGCACTGCATTTCCTGTAATTTGTCTTTATATACAAATCTGAATCAATTAACACCATATCTAAGGGGGTAGGGTAAGTGTACCAATAGTCGACACTTTTAGGATTTTAGTGTTTTTAATCGCTCCCCATTCTGAGTGGAACTTCTCAATTGTTACAAAGTTAATTTATTCAGATTCGAAATTTTGTATAGTTTTTGCAATAATAAATTAAGTTTTAATAACTTTTTATTAAATTTCATAAATTTGTAGTTTTATTAAAATAAAGCTTTTTTGCCAGTAGTCGGCACCACTTGCCAATTGTCTGTATGGCATTTTCCAACAGTCGGCATACCAATTTTTTGTAAGAATAATTAATAATAATAATAAATTAAT